TTCCTTCCTTGGCTCTTTTTCCACTCTGACCTCAGTTTTCACTTCAAGGAAGTGATTAAGGACCACCCATCGTGTATACCTTTATCCTTCAGGATCAGTTTTTGAGGTAAGAACCTCAGGATTGTGTACCAAAACCTAACTTGTTCCTATTGGCTGCTCACAGGCAGACTGGAGGTCTGGCTGAAAATTATTACAACACGTGCCAGGGGTACCAACAGGAATGTGTGTAGAATGAATAAGTTATTATTAGACTTACCAGTATTATTTATTGCTGTATCTGTGATCACTGACTGATGCTTCTTCCATTGCTGAATACTTAAGAAATACAAAGATCCTGCAGTTTGCAGATGATATACTACCTTCCAGGTATTTTAGTTGGCTCTGCATGCCCTGAAGTTGATCCATTCTGCTGATGTATTACTTCAGTTATTGCAGAAATATATTGAACTCTTCCAGCTTGGGATTACTTTGACAACAGTCAGTGCCTTTCTGGTTGCTTTTTGAAGGACTGTTTCAAATAAAACACCTCTACAAATTCTGGAGAAATATAAGGTCTTGTTTATAGATTTGCACAGAGCTGTGTGTACATGTAAACACACACCTAATGGGGTAATACCAATACATTTTAAGGGAGTATGTTTTGTTTCTCTTTGCTATTCAAAATTCTGGTAGAAGCCCAGAGAGGTTGCTACAAAACATTTCTTGTTGACTCTGGTTTTCTGACTAAGGTGCCTATCAGATAATAACACCATAGTTCACTCCCTTGGTTTGATATTGCACTTTTTTTCCCTTCAAAAAATTTTAAAAAATCCTGCTCCCTTTTAATTCTTATACATTAGATTGGATGGGACTTGGAGCAGCCTGGTGCAGTGGAAGGTGTCCTTTTCAACTCAAGCCATTCTGTAATTCTGCTTCACTGATAATGTTTATAGTGGTGGGGATCATAAGTCATCCTCTGCTCTCCTTTTCCATTGAGAAGTTATTATGTGGCTTCTCTTTTCAGCCATGTGGTCACTGTGTTGGAAATGTGGCTTTGGCACTGCTGTAGGTCTTGCATAACATGAATGTAATTCACAGAAACACTCGAGATCCACTGAGAGAGACACACCAGAGCACCTTACCTGGATCATAGCTCAGTGAGTACCATGGCTTGCTTTTGTTCCTGATTGAAGCCCTGTTGTTACCATCTTGTCAGTTTTTGAAAGCAATTTTTATAAGCAGGCCATCATAATTACCTTTGTGAGTACAAATTAGGCATGAGAATGTGTTCTGTTCCTATCCTGTGAGCTGTTGGTAGTCTTCCACCCTGGTGAGGGTTTTCAGTCCCAGTCATCTGGATGTAGGAGTTTGTTCACTTGTTTTCTGTACTGCACCTGCAATTCAGCACTCACTCTATATCACAGATTGAACCCCCTACTCTGAACAGCCCAGAATGGGAGACTTCTTAGCAGGATTACTGCAACTCTTTAATTTCTTTATTTGTTTTATTCCACCATGTTAATTGGGAGCCATTGGTGTACAGCATTTACCTCCGTGTTTCCTCCTCTACTCCCACTTCAAGATAGCTGGGCTGTACTGTGTTGGTGGACTCGCTGTTTTCCACCATCTATTCTGTTTCCTTGCAGTGTAGATGTCATTTCAAGGAAAAAACCCAATTAAAATTAATTGCTTTACTGAGTAGGACTGAGCTTACGTATGTGTAATGTCAATGTTTTATTTGTCCCAGCATCCCTTCTGAAGATGCTTCTCCATGCTTTTATCACTATGTAGCATACCCTGGTGACAGTGTTAATTTTGTTTAGAGCATGCAGAGGGCTTTTCAAAAATGAGTTTGACAACAGATTTAATTAACACTTATTAGGTGGTTGTTTTTTTTAACTTCTAGATGTTTATCTGTCCAGCCGACAGGACATGCATGCAGCGCAGGGCAGCGCTGTATTTTCAAACACAAGCAGGAAGAAACAAAGTATTAATGTTGACAGTTTGGAAAAAAAAAAAATTCCTTCCAAACTTTCTCATGCCCTGATGTGAAGGGGTTGAATGTGCATGTTGCCTTCCGGGAGGACTGGTGTCATTTCCTCAAGTGGGTGAAAGACCAGAATATTTTAACCCGTGTCATACTGTACCATGGAACAGCTTACAAAACCTCTGCTCTTAAAGGAGGTTGACTCACTTTAGTCATTCAGTTTAATTTAATAGGAGTCAATAAAAAGTCTGCCGCAAGAAATTCATCCCTGCCTTGCCCAGAAGCTATTCTGATTTACTTCCCTGATAAAATTACCATCATTATCCTCTGCTTTTAATCCATTCTGGTCCTTGTTCGAGGGCTTCAGATCCACCTTCTCTTTTCATCGTACAATGACCATGAAGCAGATCAGAGTTGCTTTTATTTCATTTTTGTCTCCTTATTTGCAGGGCCGTATCATTTGAATGTTTCCCCCTTAAAATCTCTCATTAGGCAAGAGGCCTTACTCTTAGAGACTGACCATTATCTGAAGGCTCCGAGGTCTCATTTCTTTCACGGTAAAACCTTTCAGAGAAGTAGCCTGGACTGTTATAACAGCTGTGCTTGATGTTTGTTTAGTGGCTGCTCTTCAGAGCACTCCTCTTTTTAATCTGTTTCTCAGCAAAAGGATGACCATGCAAAATACAAAAGTCACTGTATTGGAACCTTGGTGTCGTGAAAGGTTCTGCTGTAAAGCACCCTTATTAGATGAAGAGTAAAGATAGACTGGAATTTCAGCAGCTTGAGGATTTATGAATCAGTTCAACACTTTAAGGTTTTCCCTTTTTTTAAGTTTTGTGTCTTGGAAAGTTACAATATAGTTGCCAATTCTGGGAAAATAGTAAAAGGTATTTAAATAAGGACTGGAGGATTTATTTGCCAGAAGTATAAAGGTGAGTTTATATACTTTTATAATTCTCCCTAATTGAAAGGATGACTATTTCTTTTTCTGAAGCTAGCAGAAAAGTCCTGGCCTCTTAATGATGAAAGACTTTTTAAAAAAAGTTTGCCTTAAGCACAAATAGCTGAATTTTCCACTTTAAACTTGGGTGGCTCATTCATATTTCACTTAATGGTAATATAGTATCTTCTCTCTCCCTTACCCTCCTTACCACCAAGGCTAAAAATGGGGGGGGGGGGGGAAATGGAATATAAAATGTTTCTGAAAAGTACAGGAAATGTCTGTTCCTTAAATAGCTTTGCCAGGGAATTTCCAAATGTGCTTAATGCTTATGGCTGAACTTGCAGCAGCTCAGTCTTCAGTCATGAGTGGATCCTGTTCTTAAAATGTGACGCCTCCTTCCAGTAAACTGTGTTGAAATTAAGTCTATGCTTTGTTTCTCATCTGCTCTTCAGCAGAAATAATTGTGCCCGGTGGTGAAATGAGGGCTCTTGGGGGGGCTGCTTTAAACACTTGATTTACTTCTATTTATTAAAAGTGTGAAAACAGTATATAGTTTCCTGAGATGGTAGCTAGTTTATTTGTGAGGACTTCAGGGAGGTGTGGATGTTCTTTACATGCTCTTTACCCAATCACCATATATGACTGGTTTGAGATCTCTTCAAGGGCCTCCTGAAACAACCTTCTGTTGTGTGGAAGTGAGGGCTGAGACAGCAAGCAATAAGCATTTAGAAGATAAGCATACCCAAACTGAAAGTTGCAAATTGAAGATTAAGTATTTTGAACAGCGTGTGTTTTAGAGTTCTGTAGTTTCTCAACTGCTTTGTTTTCCTGTTACTACTTGGACTTTAAGTCAGCAATTTATCCATCAAAACAGACTGTCTAGTTCATGAACAAACTGTCTAGCTTACAAAGGAGCTAGAGCCAATTACCACTAGAGCCAGTGGAAAAGTTTTCATTGAGTTCAGCGGGTTTGGTTGGCAACCTTTGATATGATTAAAAGAGAATCAAAACTTGTGACAGGACACATTCAAGAGAAATTTAAAAAAAATCCAGAGCACTGTTTTTTTTCTGAAGAAAGAATGGACACAGTTACCAAGTTTCCTTTTTTTTCCCCCCTTGCAAAATGGCATAGACTTTTGATACCTTCCTGAGGCCAGTATATGTGCTTCCTTTAATCTGGACAAGCTTAAAAGCACTATTTCAATAGCACCGGAGTCAGAACAAATGGAAAATCATGTGTGGTCAACCTCACGTCTGTTTATGTGAAACCTGGTGTTTTTCTTGTATTGCCACGTGAAACTCACGAAATAGCTTTCACTTTCCTTTTTGGGGTTGTGAAAGTGGAGTTTGTACTTTTTTCAGAATTTAATTTGCTTGAGATTTATATGTAGATTTGTGTAATATATCTAATGAATAAAACAACTCCTGACCTGGGATTCACCATTGCCGAGCACAACTGATCCGTTGGTGTAACAGGACTTTTAATAATCTATCCATAAATCAGTTTGAATTAATAACTTCTCTTGCAATTAAGATTGTGTCCTGATGTAGCATCTTGTTCTTCTGGTTTCTCTTCAGGAGTGTTTCTTAAGAGAGGTGGATGTAAGTTTGGTCCTTCCTTTTCTACAGTTTCAGTTCCCCCACTTGCAGTGCTGGTTTGTAAAATACTTTCCAAGGCATTAAACTTTTAAAATGTTTAATGTTTAAAATGTTTAAGTAACTAATTTTACAACTTCTTACTGAGTGGTGAAGTGCTGAAATGCATTTAAACAGGTCTGCTGTTGAAAGGAATACCATGATTTAGGACAGTATCTCTAAACTATGTTCTAACAGTCTTGTGAAGAAGCAGAGATAGTGGCAACAAAAGTCTGCAATTAAGGCAGGGTATGTTACCTGAAATACAAGATAATTGTCCAGGCAAGATTCTTGGAATAGATTCGGAGACGAGTTGCCAGTTCTCTCTCGAGGTGTTTGGCATCCCTGGCAGAGAGGAGAAGTCCTCAGGAATGTATTTATTCTATGGGATGGCCCACTGTACAGTTAACCTCAGAGCTGAATCTTGGTTTTTTTTCCATCTTCCCCTTCTTACAGGCTCTTAGTCTGCTGCAGAGCCGATGGGTGGGAGCAAAGGTAAAGAATGATGTCTTGCAGCAGCAGGCAGAAAGCATCTTTTGTGTGAACTGTGAACTGGCTGCTCCACAGTCATGTCCTGATGAATCAGACGTGAGGGGTTGCTTTGTGGCACATCAGCTGGAAGCAGGAGGAGACGTTCAGCTGAAGAGCTCCCTCCGAAAATGGATTTAACTTTTCTTTCGCCAGTCACCGCCAGCGTGACCTCATGCATCTCTAGCACAATGGTGTGGCTGAGCCTTTGAGTACACAGCTATTACATCATCGCGGCAAATTGGGGAGGGAGGCGCTGAAAGAGGCCTTGTTGTTGTCATGGCCGATGAGATGACCGGGACTCAACCCATTGCGGCTGAGAAGTTGGTGGCCTTGCTGGAGAGCGGTACAGAAAAGCTGCTGCTGATTGACAGCCGCCCCTTTGTGGAATACAACACGTCCCACGTCCTGGACGCCATCAACATCAACTGCTCCAAGCTGATGAAGCGGAGGCTGCAGCAGGACAAAGTTTTGATTACAGAGCTCATTCAGCACTCGGCAAAACACAAGGTAGGAGTCGTTTTCCTCTTAGTCCTTGTAATTGTTTAAAGGAGCGGCTGGAAAGCAACTTGTAATGATTTTTACCTTAGGTATTTCATTAAAAAAGAAAAACAAAAACCAAACCAACCAACCAACCAAAAAAACCACAAAACCCCCAAAACCAAACAAGACTAAGGGACTGAGTTCAGGTGAGACCCTTCCTAACCAAAGAGGGCATTGGTTGCTATTACATTTATTGTTGGGATTCTTTGTAGCCCTAAGTGACACAGTTTAGAAATTACTCAGAATTTTCTCAGGGTTCCTACATGTCTTGTAAAGCACAGTCCCTCAAATGAATGCAATTAAGGCAGAAAAGATTCTCCTCCTCAGGATTCTTTGGGGTCTGGGGTGTTGGGGATGGCTTAGCAAGCAGTCATATGGTTTGCAAAGAAACTGCACCTCTGTCAATCCTGGCTCCTACTCGCTGTTAAAAATGCTCTTCATGGGAGTAGTTTGATGGGTTTAGTGGTTTGATTTGGTTTTTTGTTTATTTGTTTTGGGGGAGGAGGGATGTGGTTTTCTTCCAAATAGTGTTATCAGTGAATAGAAGATAGCTAAACTGTTTCAAATTAATGCATGGGGGGGATTTGTTTGGGTTTTTTTCTTATCCATTGGTATTTGTTTCATGTGCTTTGGATACAAAAATAATCGGCTACGTTCTTGCTTTGACGTGTTAAACATGAAAATGATGATGATGACGATGTTTGGTTTGGTTTGTTTGTTTGTTTGTTTTTTAAAACATAAAGTTGTACAGGTAACCAAAATGTGTGTGGCTTAGAGGCAGTTTAAGGTCTCTTTACTGTTGATGTACAAAACCTCCAGAAGCAGAAACTGGGTCCTTCTTCTAAAAGGCTTAACTTTTAAACAAATCAACCAAGATAGAGCATTTCACAAGTGACATAAAATTAGCTAATGATAGAAATTTGTGGAGTGTGCTTCAACCTGCAGCAAATAATCAATTTACAAACTGGTTCGTGTACAACTGCATAAAAAATCTTTGTGTCTGAACTACTGTTTACCAAATACATGGGAACCCTAATGGAGCTGATAATGTGGTGCTTTTAATCATCTTCCTCCCTTTTTACGCTGTGTTTCAGATTGAAATTGACAGCAAGCAGGAAGTGGTGGTGTACGACCAAAGCTCCAAAGATGTGACCTCTCTCTCATCTGACTGCTTTCTTACCGTGCTCCTGGGCAAACTGGAAAAGAACTTCAGCTCTGTGTATCTGCTGTCAGGTAAGATGGACCAAAAGAGACCTCAGAAACACTTGTATAAGGAGGAGAAAGAGAAAGCTGTCGGTGTAGCAGATGTGCACAGTTTTGTAAGTGCTGATGTAAAGCTCAGTTGTAGCAGAGACTTTTCTGTGGTTCTTTATGCATGCAGTGACACTCATAATGCAGATAGGGCTTGGAAATTGCATCTTACAGGGGATATATTGCACCATTAGGATATGTAAGTGGAAATGGATCAATGCAGGGGTTTTTAGATGCATGTGTCTGCTACTTTAGGTTCAAAAAATAGGAAAAGAAAAGTGCTTCCCTGATTTTTTAAGTATTGTACATGCTAGGAAGAAAACCTCTTCCTTACTGAGTTGGTACTACAACAAGAACAAGGGAAATGATCTCCCAGAGTTATGGAGATTGGTTTGTGTGACTTTTTAAACTTCAGCTCCTGAAGTGGTAGCACTTTATTTAGGTCTTCTCCCTCACTCTCCTTTTTCTTTTTTTTTTCTTTTTTTTTTTAAATCCCAGGTCAAAGCATCTCTAGAAATTCAGCTCCTTATCATACCAGATTTGTATTATTGTATTATTACTGAATAATTATGAGAGAGAGGGAAATAACTCCAGAGATGCTGTACTTACAGTAATCTAAGTAGGGTTTTGCACTGGCTGGGTTTGGTGCTTCTGTCTTATTTACTGACTAGGTAAGAATTACATCTGTGGGTGGTGGACTACAGCATTAAATTAAATAACTCTTCTTTCATATGAGCCACCAAATAATTGTGTGGTGTCTAGGCACAGTAAATGAGTAATGTAAGAGTGCTGAATCAAGTGGTTAATGCTCCCTTAAATTGAAAACTGTTATTTAAAAAATAAACCCAGTCTAGAAGCAGTTCATCTCTTAAGAAATCCTTTTATTGTTTGAATACACAACTCTGCCCATTTGTCCTGAGGGGTTTTTTTAATCACCAGAAGCAGATTACAGCTGCATGCTGCAATCAGACTATTCACAACTTAATTTCCATGATAGAAACAGCTATCTAATAACTGAGAATGGGACCTCGTGGCAGGGAGGAGTTGGAAGGCATCCTTAACAAGGCCAAGCCAGAGTATCATGAAGCTTCCCTTGCTTATATTGCCCCTCCCTTGCTCTTAAAAATCCAGCTACCTAATACATGAAATACAAGAAACCTTCAGGGATGTGGGGTGAAGGAGAAGGAGCTGGATCCAGTCTTATGGAAAGTTCCTTAGTTTATTGATCTGTGGCTCTGGGAAACTAGATAAAATATGTTGTCTCAGCAAGTTGATGATGAACTCACATAAATGTTTATGGCCCATAATGAGAGTAGAGGTCAGTGCACCTTGTAAAAAAGAAAAACCTTTGGACTTGAGTTTTCCCTATGCCGCTAAATCTGATCTGTTTAAAATGGTGACCTTAAATAAACATTTTGGGTAGGAAAATATTTTTTTGTTGGGATAGAATAAGGAGCAATTGACAAATATCTGAAATTCCTGCATCTGTTCTTCTTGCCACCCCCCATTACTGAGCAGTCAGTGTTTTTTTATTTAGATTGTGCATAAAGGTATGTTCTACCCTGGAGATTGTTTTTCATTGAAGTAAATGTTGTAGAGACCTCAGAGCAACCCTTACCAATTAGTTTAATCTGTTGGTATAACCTCATAAAAATATTTATAATCTGGCGAGGAATGTTTTCAGGAATTCAAATACCTGTTTTGGTTCTTAATTTTAACAGTATGCAAAATACTGAGATGTGGGTCCTGAAGGCTCAATCCCACTCCCACCGTGGCATCTACTCATCTGAGTTAAATAAGATTTGAACATGGGGATGTCACTTGATTCCTTCTCTTTCCATATGTTAAGAATTGGATTTACTTGCATGGAGTCCTTTTCCTAAATAATAGTGGTTTTAGGATTTTTCTACTTGCTCTGTAGAAACAGTTGAGAGACTGATTCTTGCCTGAATGATCATTAAGGCAGTAAACATCCAGAGTCAAGAGTCTTGCTTAAATTCTACTCCACTATGTAAGTGGAAATCATTCATGTTCTACATCCCTTAAAAACTTGCTCTTCCTTACTTTTAACCTGGCTTAGTCCTACTCATGCAAGCACACACGTCTTCGTGATGGTTACCTCTAAAATGGTGCTGGTGAACAAGATGAAACAGCTTTGGATGTAGAGCCGTGGTAAATGTCCAGGAAGGACTAGCTAAACTTCAAAGTACTGTAATGCAGGAGCACAGAAACAGTTTTACTGAATTCTCTAAGGATTTTTCAGTGCTGCAAGACCTGAGTGTATTTTGCCAGTGACCAGTGAAGGACATATTTTTCTGTCGGTGGCATTGGGTACTGTGGTACCTCTGAGAACAACTAATACAGAAAACTTACATAATGTACCAGATTATGAAGTGTGTGTGGCCAGAGGGGCAGTTAAAGATACTTGGAAGCCTTTTGTGAGCTTCTAAAATTGCCTTTACAGCTTTACACCATGGTTGGACTGTCAGTCCTGGCACCATGTGAATGGAGGCCCTGGTAGGGAATTGCCCACTAATCTCTTCCCACCTTTCTGCCCATGACAAGCATCAACCACGATGTGATTCAGTGGATTCTCCTTTCACCAGAGCTCTCTGAGAAACTCCTGAAGAGCACAAAGCTACTTTAATAGGGAGAAATAAATAAATTACTACTTTTCTATTCAGTGACAAATGATGGTGACATATGCAGTGGACAGTCAGTGATGCCCTAGGCAGAATGAGTATGTAAAGAAAGAGCAAACAGAATGAGTTCAGCGAGGCTGGACACAGATCCTGGAAACAAAGTAGTGAGTTATTACCTGGGGACTAAACTTCCCAAATAATTGTTTCCTCCTTACCTCTTCCTTGCTTAACAGAGAGTGTGCACAAAATAAAAGACTTGCATGAAGGATACAAGGAGATGGAAGCAAGTCAGGAACTCTCTTGCAGTCATCTTTATCCTGGCCTTTTTTTTTTTTTTTTTTTTTAGAAATATTTGAAATTGGAAGCCCATTTAAAGAAATTTGAGTATAAAAATGCTCGTATCTCCAGGGTACATTTACCATTGTGCTGTCTCTGCTTGCCTGAAGGAAAGCTGAATAATAATCAGAGTGCTCTCTCCCTGCTTTGTGCCCAGAAAAAACATTCCTTGTGGCAGAGGAGCAGGAAATCGTAAGAATATTCTCTTGTAGGTAGAGCTGATCATTTCTGTGTCCTGCAGTGACCAGGGCTGCAAGACTGAGCTAAATTCCCAACTATATGTAAGCCTTTGCAGAGCACACCTTCAGATGGTGGTCATCCATTAAAATAACGAGGTTATCTGTAAATCGAAAGGAGTACAGCAAGAGCGAGGTGCTGAATATCCTGCCAGTGTTTAGAGGAGGAGAGGCAGCTGCACGGTGATGCCAGCCTTCCTGAAATTCTGGCTGGTTGATTCTATCAGAACAAACCTCTGTTGAAAGAGGTAACAATGCTGCTGGAGGAGTGCAGTATTCCCCAAGTGATCCCATAACCTATGGAATACAGCCATTGCTGGTGGGGAAGAGTGAGAGAGGAGATCAACTCTGAATCACCCTCTTCAAAAGTCTCCCTCTCGATCAATTTTTAATGAGAGCCTAGAAAAACGAGTACCCTTGGCTACAGCCAGTCCTTTGAGAGCATCCTCCCACCCCGTGTACTTAAAATGCAGTTTTCGGTGTCCATTTACTGCCACGGTTGTTTTAAGCACTTGAAGAATGGTTTATTACTTTCATATGTGTATCCCCTTGCTGTCTTTTGACGGAGGAGAGCAAGGTTTGACTAGAGCAGAGCTCTCATAACATTTCTCGAGCCCAAGAATAACTTGTTAAGTTTGCTTTTGTTTTGGATACCTCTGGACGCTCGTGAAACTTAATTGACTGCAATTACGGCGCAGGGTTCTTTTGTTTTCCTTTCTTTAAAGGCAGAAAGGGCAAAGTGTGGGTGTCCAATGTGCTCTTTTTACTTGGCATGTGCCACTTGGGTGGGAGGGGACGCCTGACCCCGTTCTCACCCATTCCTCCTCCCCCACCTTGTTTGCTTAACCTGCCTGTTAACCTCGTCCTACCAGCCCTCCAAGGCAAAGAACTTCCCTTGCTACCGGGCTTGTGGAACACCTGTGGCATAACAGGGCCGCCCTCTGAACGTCACCAGCCTGAAAACACCGCTGGCTTTCCCAGAGTGTGGAACCTTGGAGGCCGTGGGATCCCCCGTGGACGGGAATGGGATGATGGGATGGGAGCCCTTCTGGCTGGGCTCTCCAGGCTGGGTTTATGTAATGGAAAATGGCACCAGTCCCTGCAGGGCTGAGCTGGAATGCAGGAATTGGAATGGCCTGTTTAAACCGGAGTGGAAACATTGGAGATTCATAAAACTTATGAGTCAGAAAGTTTACAACTTTTCTCTTCTTAACGGCGAGGAGGAGAAAAAAAAAATCTATATTGCAGCTTTTAGATAAACAGTTTAATGTTTGATGGGAATGCGACTGGGGAAGTGCTGTTAAGTCACAGCATTAAGATCCTCTGAGGCAAAGTAAACCTAAAAGTTAGGGGCTTGTATATTTTGTCTTTGCTATAGTGCTGTTTAATTTTTTTATTATTTAATTTTTATTATTTAATTTATTATTTAATTTTTTACCCACACTACTGGCACTAAGCAGTATTTACAGTAACAAATTCTAAATTGCTATTAGGAGAAGAGAAAAAAAAAACCAAAAGCTAAACATGAGTTATTCCACTGCATACCTTTGGTGAATGCAGACACTGGGTGAGGCTTTGGGTTTAGGACTTATAATTTTAAGTCCTAAATATTATGTTTTAGAGGTAGTTGCAAAATTTCCTGCTTTTTTATTGTTCTTTTCCCTTAAAAAGAATAGTTAAATGGAAAAAGAAAAAGATAGCAACATTGCTTTAAAAAGGGATAGCAATATAATATTTATAAGTTTGTGGTTATGTAAAATGATGAATAATTATTGCCCTTAATGAAGAGGCACATTCTGGATTTGACAAAGGTGGAATGTTAAATCTTCAAGCTTCAATGTCTCTCCTTCTTGTAATGCTGTACATGCATGGAGCCTTTGTTTTTCTGACCCATCACTTGGGTCTTACCTCTTCTCCACTCCCTGCTTTAAAGTAATTGTGTCTGATGCTGAATAACACTGATGTACTGTCAGACATTTAGGTCTTGTGGACAAAGGAAGCAGCTTCTAGTATGTTGTCAAGAATTCATTGCAGTGATGTGAACACCTGTATCTCACCTTTCTTCAATTCCAAGTTAGGTTTCATGGCTGTGCTTAAAAAGGAACAGCATGAAATCCTCACAGAGCAAATGCAGTGTAAGCTTGTTTTTAACTGTCAGAATTTGTATATGCATGGAGCTTTCATCTTTGTAGGGGTTGTTTCCATACTTGGACAGTTACTAGAAAAAGCAAGTTACACCTAAAAGGTCGCCTACTTTGTGTTTCCCTTTCCCTGCAGAGCTGCAGGCACCTCAGCTTTTGCTTTTTAATTTCACACCCAAACTTAATCCACCTTATCTCTGAAGTACAGTCAGATCTCTGTTACTTTGTGCTTTGTCAGTATGCACATGCCTGATTAGCAAGAGCAGCTATCTCGAGATGATTAAGATAAAGCTCCTGGTTCAGATCTCTGGAAACATGTGAGGATAAAAAGGAATTACACAATGGGCTGTTTCAACAGTAATTTCATGAGCAGCTCTAAAGAGATAAGGATTGCCTCCTGATTGTTTGTTGGTTTTTTCCCCCTGTATGTTAGAAACACATGTAAATTGAGACACAGGATGGATGTATGAGGGAACATCTGTGCTGGAGGTTTTAATGTGCTCAGTGACAGATGAGATTTTGCTGGAGCAGCAATGATATCCCAAAGTCAAAGCTGCATAACCTGGGATTACGAGGAAGGGATGTGTGTTGATGTGAATGAAGAACCATGAACAGTGAAGAACATTTGGAGAACTGATTTGTTTAGTAATTGGTGTTTCTGCTTGACTTTTTTTGCTCTTCCCCAGGCCAAATCAGTAATTAATATGTTTCCTGCAAATTTGCCTTGTCTAATTTTGGTCACATCTCTGAGTGGTTTGATACCCCGTTGAAGGAAATATAAAGACAACTTTTACTGGGGAATTTTGCTGAAAATTTTTCATCCCTTCTGGGTTTGGCCCTGTTTTGTTACCTAGAAACTGGCTCCAGAAGTCAAGTGTATTTTCTACAATTAAAACAAACTGCACAGGGCTGCCAATGGCCCTATTCCAACTGAGGTAGGTAAGGAGATTTAAAGAAAAAAAATTTGCCTTGCTGCAAATGTTATTCTCAAATCATGGAATTTGAAACAAAACCCACCACATAGTTTTTTTTTTAAGGCTCAGCTTTCTGTTCTGCATTCCCACCTGCAGACTAAATTAATTTTCCAAGTGTTTAAGGTTTATTTTGAAGAGATGGGTAGTTTAGCAGGATGCATATACAAGTGTGTTTTGTTGGTTTGTTTGCTTGTGGTTTTTTAAAGCAATTTTTCCACATACTGTGACCTAGAGTGTATTTTTCCTATTGGGAGTGCTGTAAATCAAAGCCAGATTTATTAAAAAACTACTGTCTTTTTAGAAAACCTGGTCAAAGAAGATGGCAGGGCAGATAACTTAATATTGGAAACAAATCACCAATTCCATACTTTTTCAGATGGGTTCACTACAGATGCAATAGGTTAAGGTATATTCAAAGGAAAGGAGGGTTCACTTGTGAGCACAGTAAAGATAGGTAATATAATGCCAAACTTAATGGATTTGAGGGCTTTGTGATTATAATAAAATAATAAAAATAATTGCTTGTGCAGCTTCTTTGAAAGGACTTCTCTTTCCAGCTGTGGGGGTGAGAGGATCCAGAAAGCAGCCAACAATGTTCCCAAGAAATAAAGAATAAGCAAATGAAACCAAACGCCAATACTTGACTTCCCCTTCCTCCTTGCCCTCTCAAAGAACCGCTTAAATTTCATCTGAGAGGCATTTACTGCCTGTAAATTCAAAGAGTGCTTCCTATAATGGAGGGGAAAACATTATGCTGCACAGAGGAAACTGTAGAAAGTATGTGAGAGAATTATTTTGCAAAATTCAGTGGACACATGGAACAGGCAGGATCTGTGCTGCCTGAAAGGGAAGTTGCCAAGCAAGGAAGGAAGAATCCCAGGTAATAGAATAGAAAAGAAAATGTCAGAGCCAAACCTTTGCTGTGTCCCTAGCTTTGGTCCTTTAGTTTAGAGCTATGGCTCTGGGATGGGCAGTGCCTTAGCTTGTCTAACAAAATAGACAAGTTAATTATTTGTTTGTTTGTTTATTTGACTGAGCAGGAGTCGGTGTTCATCAGCTGTTTGCTCTAAAATCTGATTGCTGGCTTTTTTGGTTTATTAGATGAAATGGGCACACACTTGGCTATAACCTTGGTGTTTCTGTATTCACTAATGACACAGACTTCTAAATCTAAAGAATATAACATTTGGCAGATTCAGCACATTAATAATTCCAATTCCTTGATGACAAAAAGGTGCCTCGTTCTGAACAGCTTATAATGACTCTTCCTTCAGTTAAAACTCTGCTCATCTCTAATGTGTGGAAGCAGCTGGGGTTTCCCTCTATGGTTTGCAGCTTTCACCCTTACTGGCTGGGTGTTAAATGATGAAAACAGCCAAGAGAACCTGCAGCACAGTGATTTAAACAGCTGCCTTAGGTTCTTCCTCATCCTAGTTTATGAAGGTGAGGAATGAGAATGGGCTGAGCCTGAGGTTTAGTGAGGCTTGGTAAAAGCTAGCTGGCTTTTGTGAAAATGTGTCCAAGTGCAAGTTCTTTGCTGAAGGTTTCACTGGGGTTTTTTTCTAACTGTGGGTAAGGCCAGTTTGGTGACAGCTGGTAGCACAGATGTGTGATGCAGCCCTTGTGAGTGGGATGGAAGCCAGGAAATAGCCAAGCAAGAAAAAGAAATGGAGTCTAGAACAGACTCAACCTCATGTTTTATTCCCTTCACGCTTCACAGCTGCTGTGCCCTGCTGATGGGGAAACAGCCAAGGAGCGTTTTTGGTGGCCACGGGGATTTTAGGTGGATTTAAATGTGTTATCAGTCATTCCACTCAGTTTAAACTCCGAGTGGTTTAATGCAGTGCTGGGAAATGATAATGAGAATATTTGGAGCCATATTATGGGCAGGGCCTATCAACTGGTGGAGATAAAGAACCAGCAAGCATTAAAGGGAGCAGAGACTTCAGGTGATCTGCTAGGGGAGTTCATGGCTTGGTGAAGTCCCCCCTGTATCCCCTCTCTGCGTCCCCCACTTGAGGTGGAGAAGCTTTGGCTTGGTGTGGCTTTGAAGGCTGAAAGTTCTTCCAGTGTGCTGAAGGAAGTGCATTAATTATGGAGCGGCCCACAAAAGAGTACTGTAGGATTGGAAAAGCAAACATTAATAAATGAATATTGACACTTTCACCAAATTGAGTAAACATTACTTTTTCATAATGAACTCTCAGTATAAATCTAATACAAAAGGAGGGGGTGTTCAGGAAACAGCTTGCTGGGGTGGAGATGAAAAGGTGGGCATGCTTTTGGTATGGTGAGTGCTGTGGCTGTTTCTCTGAAGTGTCATTTCCAGATTATTAAGAACGGGAACAGGCATCAAAAACTTCTGGTATGGGCACCGATGCCTACACCAGCACATGTAAGCTGAATACATACCCTTCTTCTCACAGGTGGATTTGCTGAGTTCTCCAGCTCTTTTCCTGGTCTCTGTGAAGGAAAATCCACACTCATCCCTACGTGCATTTCTCAGCCTTGCCTCCCCGTTTCCAACACTGGCCCGACCAGGATCCTGCCTCATCTCTACCTTGGGTGTCAGCGGGACGTCCTCAACAAGGTGAGTGTTCTGGGTGTCCTGGGGTTCACTTGGGTGAGTGCCCTGGACCTGTGTCCATGCTTCTGTCATCATTCATGGCTACAGCTAAAGCTGCTGCAAACAAATCTCTGTACATCGACTGAAATGCTCAGATCTGGACAGTCAGTGGGGTTGTCTAAAATGAGCTTTTATGGTAGCACTGCACTAAGAAACTTCTCTACTGTTTCTAAGTACAGGTGCATTTAGCAATTTCTGCTCCTAAAGAATAGCACAGAATATTTTTATGTATTTAAAATAGTCAGCAAAGTCATCAAATGTATCACTGGTAGGACGCTGGACTATCAGATGTTTAAAAGAGCTTGTCTCAAATTGCTGTAGGTCTGTATTCCTATGAATATCAACAAATGTTTGCTTCCATGAGGAGGTAACTCATATTGCTTCCAGTCTGAATATATTTTTAGGCTATTTTTCGTTACTTTAAGGGCATTTTTGAAACCCAAGTAATCATATAGAGGGTAACTGTGCTTTAATAGAGAGGGCAGAAGTGGAGGATAGTCAGCAGTCACTGCATCTGCTTTGTCCTTTAAAATCTTCCCTGTCTTTATGGCCAGGTAGTGAGTCAACAATTCAAACTTGATTCACTTACGGATGTCAAAGCAGCTTATTACTATTCCTACCACAAAAGTAATTCGTGGTCCCCAGACAAAAGACAGCAGGAACTGACTAATTAAAAAAAAAAAAAATCTTTGCTTTCAACTGCAGGGTATTAGAAAGGTGCTCTTCTGCTGTTTCGGGGTATAAGGGCAGGTGCTATTCTAGGACAGGGTGGGGAGGGAGGGAACAACTTCTTGTTGTCCTCCGGGGCCAGGGCTGTGTTTGGGATGTGACTGGAACTCCACTGGTGTGACTCCTCAGATCTACTTATTTTTTGTATCTTTTTCCTCTTGCTTTGCCCAAACTCGGGAATTGCTTTGTTCTGGGCAGTGTTCACTGCACTGAATTAGACCTGAGTGTGGGTGGTTTATCCCACCTCTTCGGTGTTCATGGCTGCCTCTGGAAAATGCAGAATGGCTTCCACCTTTAATGTTTTCTATTCAAGTCCAGTTTAAAAACAAAAAACCAAAACCAAACAAACCAAATTGCTGAAAAATTCTAGGAAGATTTCCAAATATTAAGATGTATTTGTACACACTGACCTTATTTTTGCCTTCAAATGCTGTCTGTGAGTTCTCATGATTCCTTCTATTCACCAGACACAATGATTTCTCTAAAATTAAATTGTCTCAAAAATATCTGCATTACTAATTTGACCTGATGGTTTAAAGATTTTGATACTTTATCAAGATGAACCTACCCTTTTAGGATCTTTATAAGCTTATAATCTCTGAGTGAATGGCTAGGGAAATGCTCCTCTTGTTGCAGGACTGTCTGTAGTCATGATCTTTTAAAAATACTGAAGCTCTTTGCCATTAATACCTCTGCTGATAGTGCTTTATTTAGGAAAGATACACAAACACAAATGCTTTGTTTGTGTCCTTCAGCAGAACTGATGATTCATTCAGGAAAGTCTTAGGAGGATTTTTATATTTCTTCTTACAGATTTCTTTCTAAATGTTTAAGTCTGAAAATGTTCATAGTATTTTTTGCAGTGTTGCAATGCTGAAAACCTTGTGAAAATTCTAAGAGAAAAGTTTGTTTCAGTTTTGGGTCTCAGTGTGATACGTTGTGGTTATCTCTGTGGCATTGCAAGAGGGTGCTGACAGTCACTGCTCTTTGTGAAAGAGAGGGAGATGAAATTCTAACCTAGATGGCAGTGATAGTGTCCTTTCTGAAAGTCAGTATGACAGAGAAAAAAAATCTGTGTTGTGGTTATGGGCCTGAACAAGCCTCCTACTTACATCTCAAGGTTTGTACCAGCATTTTAAACTGGTATTTAAACTCTTCTGCTCTCCTGCTTACATAACTATTCTCTTTCTTTTCTTCCAGACCTGGATTTTATTTCCTGGAACAAAATAACATTTTAGGGTGCTATTAATTTTCAGATTAAACAAGTCATAAAATGTAAATAGGCTTACAAAAGAGCATTTACCTTCTTTTCACAAAGTTGTTAGTATTGGGATTTCTGGATCTTCCTCCCATCATAATTCACTTCTTCCTCTCGGGTGCCTTACAAAGAAGGCACTGTTGTGGTTGTTACACTGGAGCAGGTTGCACAGGGAATGATTGATACTTTGGAGTAGAAGGAAGCATAACTCCTTTCTTTAACCTTAGTCCCAAAGACAAGCACTAATATTTTGGGGTGGTTTTTTGGCTTGCAGATCTCAGACTTGGCATCTGCAGGCTTTTTGTTCCCATTTCAATAATCAATTCCACAGCAAAAAACCTTGCATAACTGTGGAACTGTGATGGCTTGAGTGTGCTTTCATATTTCATATTTCTCACCAGTACCTGTGACAGGGCAACCTCAGATATGTGATCTGGGGAACACATACTCAGGTCAGCACGTGGGAAGTGTTTGGTGTCAGCTTGCACAGGGAGAACTTTTAAACCAAAGTAGCAAAAAATTCATTCTCTTACAAGCGATGCTTCAAAGCAGCAGAAGGTATTCTACTGTTATTCCTGTTCTTTGTTAACTTTGTTTTTATGGGATTTGCAGTCCAAATGTTATTTGCATCCACTGGATGTCTCATTAAAAGCTGTTAAAAGAATTGAAAGCTGAGGAGTTTTACCTTTTTCTCAAAAGAATGTCCCTTATACAGCTAAAAGAATTCCAACACAAATTTCAGTTGGGTTTTCAGCTTTGCAATGTGCCAGAGGTACCTTTTGCCTTCTCTAGGCTTAATCTGTTCTCTCTCCTAGGAGCTGATGCAGCAGAACGACATTGGCTACGTCCTGAATGCCAGCAATACTTGTCCCAAGCCTGACTTTATTCCAGAATCCCATTTCCTCAGAGTGCCTGTGAACGACAGCTTTTGTGAGAAAATTTTGCCTTGGTTGGACAAATCAGTCGATTTTATAGGTGAGAAGAAAATCCAAATTCTCTCTCTCTCTCTCTAAAACGGTTTTTTGGTTCCTCTGTGCGTCTGCCTTGCTGTTATGGTTGGAGAAGCCCTGAGTGCTTTCTGGGTGGTATGAAAATACCCTCAGGATCTGTGTGCACAATCAGCATCACTTCATAAGCACAGAAGCAAAATAACACAGCAAAATAACATTCTGCCACTGCATGTTCCAGCATGAAGGAACAAAAACACTTAAGAGCACAACTCTGCTTTCAGGCAGCCTGGTAGAGTCCTAATATATTGTCTGCAGGGAGTGAAGGAGAAATTTGGACATACAGCTCCTGTCTTGACCTGTGAGCAGTGAGCTAGCCAAATCTGAGCTGGCCAGATTGTTCCATCGTGAATGCTTGCTTGTTACTTGGATATAAAATTAGAAACAATTACCTTCCCCAGACATGTAAATAGGGTGGTTTATGTGCACATTAAATTGAGGTGCACTGTAACTGCAGTATGTTTCCTCTGTGTGTTATGCTTTTCTACACTCAGTGCTGAACACTACTGGAGAAAATAAGTGATTTTTTTGTTCAAAGCTTCCGTGAGATTTGTAATTAGGAATTAATTTGGAAGTTTTGAATAATTTTAAACAACATATTGCTTTCTTTGCAAACTTCTCATCATGGTAAATGCTGCAGACTTTGACTCCTGCCAATTTCTTTGCTAGAAAAAGCAAAAGCATCAAATGGCCGTGTGTTAGTGCACTGCTTAGCTGGGATATCTCGCTCTGCCACCATCGCCATCGCCTACATCATGAAGAGAATGGACATGTCCCTGGATGAAGCTTACAGGTAAGAAGAAATTTCCTTTTCATACTAATTCTTTTCCCTGTTGGCTCATTTTACAGTGACTGATGTTATAGGAGCAAGGGTAGCAGCAAACATTTTACCTGGTGGTTCCCTGTCCTCTGCACACTCCTGTTTTAAGCACAGACTTCCTCCAGGAAAAAATGAATCATGTTGAATAGACATCACACAGCCACAAGCACACCTTCCCTGTTTTCTCAGGCTGGGTTTAATGACTGCACACTCATCTTCTGTAGGTTTCCCCAGAGAGATTGTATTTTTAATAATATTTAATTTTCCCCGTGACATGTATGTGTGCTTGTACTACATTTAGCTCCTCAAGGTTTCTTCCCCTTGTTAATTCTTTTGTCCAGGAATGTTTCTTTAAAAAAAAAGCAACCCAAAACCAGAGGAGGAGGGCTTTGGGCAGCTTTCTGCTTTGCAGCCTGCAAAAGCAGAGTACTTATTTAGCTATGCTGGAAATCAGACAGGTAGGAAGTGTGCTTTTGTATTTAGCTTTGAAGTATGTGACATGACTTCTATTACTGAGGTCTTTATCATACAGTTAGAACTCTGGCTCAGCAAAACATTTTCAGTATCCCTGCACACTCAGCTCAGTACATGACAGCATGCTTGGATGGGCACACCTGTGCAATCCTGTTGCCCTTTTACTGCTGAACACCTACGGGACCTGAGAGAATGCTCTTTGTTTTAATGCTGCATTTGCACCTTTCTGTTTTTCTTTTTGATTATCAGTGCCAGTGTGGGGTAGGAATGGCTGGAACTTGCTGGGTAAGGTCAGAATCTGTTGTGGCTCTTTGTCTTGCCTGACAGTGATAAACAGGGTAGGAAGGGCTCGCTGCAGTAACAACAGCATGAGAGGTGGAAGGAACATGTGATGTCATCCCTTGGAACGCTGGGGAAGGGTCTCTTGGCTAAAGCTCAAATGTTGTTCGTGCAAAACTTGAGGAGCTCTTGACTCCAGTCAGAAACCAAGGTAGCAAAGATCCCACTGATGAAGGAAATAAGGAAAAATGATGCACTCAAATCACTTGTGGACATCATGAAGAGTTAAAAAAAATGCTTTCTTCCCTACCCACTTTTTAGCCACCTTTAAGTAAGCTATAGAGACAACTGACAGCCTCCAGCATTATTTTGCTTAAAACTGCCTTTTTTTAACTCCATCCTCAAGTTACTTGTGCTTGATTGAAGCCCTAGTCCAAGCTAAGTTAAGAACAGGCTGTAGACATTGGCAACATTCACTTTGGGGTTATCCTAGGTCTGAGCAGCAGGCTCTTCAAGTAATTCTTGGTTTCTTTGTCCCTTCTTACCAGATTTGTGAAAGAAAAGAGGCCGACTATTTCTCCCAACTTCAATTTCCTGGGCCAGCTTTTGGACTTTGAGAAAAAGATAAAAAACCAGGGTGGTCAGCCTGGACACATTAGTAAGTTGAAACTTCTGCACCTGGAGAAAAGCAGCGAGCACGTGCAGGTTCCGGACGGGGGGCAGAGCCTGTCCCTGAACCAGCTCTGCATCGCTGCCGCCTCCGAGGTGGCGGAGCAGAAACCCACGGACTGTGGCAGCGCAGCACGAGGGCACCTGTCCCCTCTGGAAGATGGCCCGCTGGTGCAGGGCATGAACGGGCTGCACGTCTCCCTGGATAAGGTGGAAGACAGCAACCGGCTGAAGCGCTCCTTCTCCTTGGATATCAAATCCGTGTCCTACTCCTCCAGTGGCAACCGCGTGACCGCAGCAGTTCAGGGCTTTGCCTCCGCCGAAGACACCCTGGAGTACTACAAACATGCAGCTGCTTTGGAGGGTGGCAGCAAACTGTGCCAGTTCTCCCCTGTCCAGGAGGTGTCGGAGCAGACCCCAGAAACCAGCCCCGACAAAGAGGAAGCAAACCCTCCCCAAAAGTCCCCGAACACGTGGCAGCTGGACGGCCAGGGCAAGCGGCAACACCCGGGGAGAGGCAGCGGCGGTGCCACCACGCAGCGGTCGCTCCTGTACCCCCTGCACCGCAGCGGCAGCGTGGAGGACAACTACAGAACGAACTTCTTGTTCGGCCTCTCCACCAGCCAGCAGCACCTGGCAAAGTCTGCCGCCGGGCTGGGCCTCAAGGGCTGGCACTCGGACATCCTGGCTCCTCAGACGTCGGCCGCGTCCCTTACCAACAGCTGGTACTTCGCAGCAGAGTCCTCCCGGTTCTACTCGGCCTCGGCCGTGTTGGGGCAGGGCGGGGGCTGCTCGGCCTGCAGCTGCAGCCAGCTGCCCTCGGGCTGCGAGCAGGCCTGCGCCGTGCGCAGGAGGGCGAAGCAGGGCGACCGCGGCGACTCCCGCAGGAGCTGGCACGAGGAGAGCTCCTTCGAGAAGCAGTTCAAGCGCAGAAGCTGCCAGATGGAGTTTGGGGAGAGCATCATGTCGGACAGTAGATCCAGGGAAGAACTGGGCAAAGTAGGCAGTCAGTCAAGTTTCTCAGGCAGCATGGAAATCATCGAAGTGTCCTGAGGGGCGGGCAACGGCCTTGTTGTGTGTCTGTATCAGAGCTGCTTCCCCCTCCAGGCTGCTCCCCCAGCGTTTGAGAGATCCCTGTAAATCTGAAATCGCGTGTAAAAAGGTGGGGGGGAGGGAAGAACCTCGAGGCTTCGGTGTGAACACAGCAAAAGGTTAGTACTGCAAAGAGGTGACGAGCGAGCTTCTGCCCGAGGACACCAGGGGTACCGCTGGGTTCTTCTCCTCTCCTTTCCTGGAGAAGGGCAGAGCACTTCAGAGGTCTTTAGAGGAAGCAGTTGTATGCAATGGATTGCACAGTTTCAGTGGTTTTTTATAAAGGAAGCTCTCCTGGTATCAACCTTGCTCTGGTTCCACTGAGACACGTTCCTACCTGTCAAAACCAGTTTTGTTCTCCCCCCCTCGTGCCCCATATGTTCACCAGTGCACCTTAGCCCTGACACTGAGCCAACCTCTGGAGGGAGACCTTTTTCCTGTAAGGAGACCGGGAGCAATTCCAAAGGACATAGGGACTGGTTACAGCGAGGCTTGTCTGAACACACAGCTCAGACAAATGTAAATACTGGTGTAACTATTGTTCTAATGGATAGGCTTTAGGTGATTTGCTAGAGAGCTGCTTCAGAGAAAAAAAAAAGTACCTCAAAAATATAAAAAATAAACTAGGGCTTTATGGCTGCCACATGCTGGTAGTCAGTTCATAGCAATGTGAACAAGTAAGGACTAGCCACATTTGTGTTTTTTGTGTTGTTTTTTTTTTTTTTAAGCTGTCTACGCACAAGTGTTTCAATTGGCTCAGCAGCAATGCTTCAGAGAAGATGAATGAACCATACTTAGGACTGTTTCCCCCAGTCTTTTGAAACAGTGTTCATATTTTTTATATTAAGCTGGCTTCTGGGAGAGCGGTAGAGTTGCTTTGGCTCCTAAGCTGGAATGGAGTGGTTGATAGGTAGGGTTACGTGCAAGAGAAGTGGCTGCTACGAGTGGCCACAACATGCTTTTCTTGCCAGTGAATAATTCAGTAGGAGGCTCTTGAAGGCCTTTTTTGGTTTGGGGGTTTTTTGGGCGGTTTTTTTGTGGTTTTTAAGATAAAAATGTGGTAGGCTTTTATCCTCAACTGAGCAGTACCACTGAGGAACTGCTCTTCATGGATGGTCCCAGTCCTGTGTGGGGTGGGGGCAATGCAGGTGGTTGGGTTTTATTGCATTCCAGCATGGATTGGGACTGGCTTTTCATTAGTTTTGCTGAGTTCATCAGATAAAGGGAAGTCTGGCTAGCTACCCAAGGAAAACAGAAGGGGGCCTCCCTCCAGTGTCCCATCTCAGAGTGTGGTGAGAAAGAAAGGGGCTTTGAGAAGAGGCAGCTTGGTCTTTCCCAGCACCCCTCAGAAAATGTGCATTGAGGGGAAACTGTATTGTTTTGTCCCATTTCAGTGCAGGCAGCTGAAAACTGTACATCACACGTAACAAATAATTAACCCAGGCCAACAGCTTTAAAAAAAAATTTGTCAGCAGCAACCTGAAGCCCTAATTCAAGTGAGCAGCTTGGGTTATGTTAGGGGTTTTTTTACTGTAAGTTTAGCTAGTTTGTGACTCAAATCTCAGGTTTTACTATATTGAAAAGTGGAGAAGATTTTGTCATTGTTTCGTTTTGTGGCTAGGATGTGACTTTGATTTCCTACAGTGGACTGTTGAAAATAGCACTGAAAGCTACAGCGTTGATTAACTTGATCCTAAAAAGTGCAAAAAGCACAGAGACAGCACCAGGAGGCTCTGTTTGGGTCGTGTGTAGATGTTGGAAGAAGAGGTAGCCCAGGCAAGGGACAGGTTGACATCACACCTATCAGGTGTTCATTAAACATGCACTTGTCTCTGTTTACGTATCAGGTGAAAGCAATTACATCACAACTATTTTCAGCATGTGTATACCTATGTAAACAGTTTAACAGGGCTCCTCTCAGCCAGATTTCAGGACAAGCCCACATCTGTGGTTTAAATCAGTTAGTGGGGGTTAACACATATCAATCCCTGAAGACAGAAGCAGATTCTTCCTGTCTTTTGTGCTCCTTCAGACCTGTGTGTTCCCCCCTTCTCTGTGTTTGGGTGTTGGTTCTTCTCCTGTTTGAGGTTTGTTTGCTTGACTGCCTTCTGAGGAACTGAAATCTGGTCTTGTGGCTCCTTGTGATTTCCAGTAGTCCCTGAACAAATCAAAGCTGTAGGCTCGGTATTTTTAGGGGATGTCCCCATAGGACGATGCCTTAACCCCATGTCCCGCACAGGGTGGTGCCCTGGCTCCTGTCTGAACTAGAGTCCTGTGCCTGAACAATACTGGAAATGGTTTGCAGGAGTCTGGAAAGCAAAGTGGAGGATGTGAGAGGGGAGAGGTGTCCATGTTCAGTATGGATATAATGTATGGTCACCGGTGTATGGCCTGCTGGGCATATTTGTGTTATGGAGAGCTATTCGAGTGGTTCAGAGAGATGTGAGGTTCTCATCTTGTTGTGTGGTGAGCATTACCTGTATGTATGATGAAATAAAATCAGAAATGGTACCTGTTTATACAGAAGGGCTGAGGAAGGAGTTGTGGAGTGTGCGTTCCCTGTGCCTGTTCATGACTTACATGGCCGCAGCAGCTTTGCACCCCTTGTCGCAGGTAGGAGTGATTTTACAGCACCGGTAACCATTTAGGCCTCTTACCTGTTCCTGAAGACCCCACCTCTTCTGCTCCCTTGGAGATCAACCCTGGCACTTCTCTGCCCTCAGTGTCTCATACAGGTGTGAGTAACCTACTCCTCTTAGTCTTGTTGAAGCAAGTATTTCAAATTTATTAAGTTACCTAGAATGATCCCCCTCCTTTTTTTCTTGCCTCCCATACTTCTTATTTGAAGATTAATGTAATAACTTGTTTAAATACTTATTTTGACTGATTCTGTCACTCCTGAAGCATGCAGAGCAAGCTGCTTCAGAGAACAGCTCATACAAATCACAATGTTTGTGTAACAGCATCTTCAAACTCAGGTGCAGCAGCAGAAGCTTTTTCTTTTCTTAAAAAGAGAATTTCAAAGCCTAATCCCAGAAAGGGAAATGCAGAATTCTTAGCCTCCCTAAAAGGAACCAAACCATCAGCCAGAGCACAAGTAACAACCTATGTGAGTTTCTGTGCTTATTTTCTACAAACAAGATGTAGCAACTCTTACATAGAAAGCTGCAGCCATTCCATGGCAAAACCAGAACCACGCTGATTAAATGGCAAGAGCTGCTTAGCCTACAAAACAGGTTGACATGACAATCTAAGATTTCGCTGCTCCAGCTTCCCTTACCCTACTCCAAAGTCCACTTCCCATCGCAGCAGCTCTGCTCCCTGAAGTTCTGCTTTTTGAAGAATGCACTTGCCACTCCTTTCTGCCTGCCTTGCAGGACTCGCTCTGCTCCTGGTCCACTCCATCCTTCCACTCCTGCCCCTGCCGGCAGACAGCTCTGTGCAGAGACACTCTAATGCCATCTCCAGCCAAAATCCAGGGGACAACTGAGATGTGTCTCATGCATGTCAGCAAGACTTAATTTTCGTTTCACCAAAGTCACCTACCCAGACATTTTAATTAGCTAGCCATACACCTGGCTAGCCTGTATTTGTTTCATTTTCTGAGATAAAACAGCATAGATTAGCAGTTCACATAAAAAATGTTTGGACCAAGTCAAAATGCCCATTTATTCCTGGTTATGTTACTGTCCTGTTGGAGGCCATCGTATTTCATTACCTTCACAGCATCCCTACGAGCTCACTGCTCAGTCTCCACCTGTAAAAATACAGTAAAAAGACAAAAAGGTTTATTCTAGGCAGCTGACATTGGGAACTGACCTTGGAGTGCTTTTCTCTCCTCTCTCATGCCCAAGGATGACTTTTGAAGGCTGTAGGAACGCTGGAGCCCATCCAACACCACCTCAGACCTGCCCTGGCTTTGGGGACTGCTGGGTGAGCAATTCTCCTTCACAGAATGAAATCACAGAGTACTGAGGTGGAAGGGACCCACAAGGATCATCAAGCCCATCCAGGGATCAACCCCACCTCTCTGGCATTATTAGCACCATGTTATAACCAAGAGTTCCTGTGGATGAGGCTGAGAAAACATGTATTTCTTCTACTCCTTCTGTGTGAAAGCTTAGAGGAGGAAAAAACACACCTTAAATATTTAAATATATTTAAATATATTTAATTTAAAATACATTTACTTAAAAAAAACCCCGAAAACTCTTTTCTGTCCCCTTCACCAGATCTTCACAGAAATTGCCCTGCAGATAGGTTGGCACTTTAGCACCCTGTCAATGCATTCAGTTACAAAAACAGAAAGAACAAAGCAAACCTCTTCTGCACAGGTAGCACACGGACCAGCGTGGGATGCAACCAACACCAGTGGCAGCACAACAGCAGTCAGGGGAAGGACCAGAGCACTTCAGGCCAGCAGGGAACCACAGACTCACCCTCTTCCCCAGCTTTTCAGAAGACTGCATATCAAGAAGCTTAGCTCGTACCCCAAACCACAGACCCCTTCAGAAAGCAGAAAAGGGTGGAAAGGCCTGGTTTCAGTGAGCACACCGTATTATCCTGTTCACAGCACTACACCTGTGTGAAAGGTACCTGAGGCCTTCTCCAAGAGTGTTTGGCTTGGAGAAGGGAATCCATAAGCAGAAAGGTGACTTCAGTCACATCTCAGTCTCCTGATGAGCAGCGTGGGAGTGAAGCGACAGTCTGAGCATCACCTGCACCTGAAAGCAGCGTGTAGAGCAAAGCCAACAAGGAGCAAAGCAACAAACAGCTCAAGGAGATGAGGCAGGAGATGTCCTCCCCCTAGCAAGAGGGCCAAAGACTCACAGTTAACGAAGGCCATGACAGTGTTTTAAATAAAACTGTAAACTGTTGCTTGAGAACAGCACCCATACAAGAGACTGTCCTGTGGAACGCAGGTGATGACATATGAGCTTTGGAAGAGGTTCCTTTCCCCTTTCAGCTCTGATTTCTTTCCAGTTAAGCTATTAGGCCTTTCACAGTCTGCCCTTGCTGCCTGAAAGCTCTACCTCTGAGGCCCAGCAGCACAGCCAGTGTTCCTGGAACAAGCATTCTCTCCCATTCTCAGCCCAGTGCCCAGGTGTTTTCTAGCAATTGATTTGCAGCCCTCAGTCCTGCAGCCTTCAGATGGGAACACTACTCATTTGCCCTCATTAGCACTGCACGGAGCAGTGCTTTGATCTGATACGTCATGGCATGAGGCCAGATGTCTAGAAACCTTACAGGAGAGAGCATCTCACAGGAGAGAACATCTCAAGGGCCCTGCCTTGACATCCACTATCAGGATCTTCCCGCTAGCACAGGCTCCCAGCACGCCAGCGTGTGGGATATTAATGATCCCATCTGGCAGACAGCTGAACGTTGCACATTTTAAACATCCAGACAGCATCATCTGGACAAAGAGGACAAAAATGGCTGCAGCTGCTATTTAAAGCAGCTCAGTATTCCTGTGTGTCTGATGGCAGAAAGCACAGACGCATTCCATGACGGACAGTGACAGCCCGTGTGGGCAGGGCCATGACGAGCAGGTTCTCAGGGGTTAAGCCTCGTGTCAGCTTTTAACAAAGCAAGTGTAAAATATGGCAGGAAGCCTGAACAAGGAGGTTGCATCCCGTGCAACACACAGCCTATGCCACTGTACATATCACTGTTCAAACCTCTGGGGTGGCAGCAGCAGGCAAGGAGGCCCACTCTGCTGCCCTGGCTAAAAAAATCTGCTGAGCTCCTTGCCGTCTCTGAAGCAGTCAATTGCCCTTCCCAGGGCATCATTCCAGGGGGCTTCATCTCTACAGGACTCTGCTTTCAGACAGTGTTCAGCAGGCCCTGGGGTCCAACCACCCCTGTGGTTCAGATGCACATCAGTTTGCTGCATCACCGAAATTCACTCTACACTATATGGCCTTTGGAAATGCAACAAACGAACAGCCTGTTGCTTCTTGCCACCAGGCAATAACTAATATAATCAAAAAGCTACTGCATTCTTATTTCCAAATGCTCACAGGAAACCTTTTGGCAAGTCACCTTGTGCCGTACTGGAGGCTGGTCTGTCCCTGACTCTCAAAGAGGGCTGTCCTCACAACTGGAACTGCACTCCTGACATAAACCCACCCTCGGGGTTCATGGGCACTTCAGCCTCCTCACCAGCGACAGCATCCTGGGTCCAGCAAAATACACACAAACCTCCCTTGCCCAGCAAATCAAGGGCTCCTCACTCCTGGTTACGTTCTCTTTCTGCTGCAACAAGAGCTGCCATGCCCTGGTGATGCAGGCTGCTAAACCCTGTTTCTAGACCTAGAAATACTTTTACAGCAGCATGTAAAACATCCCTGGTTTACACAGGGAGAACCCAAAGCTCAGAGAGGTGCTGCACAGTGGCAGCTCCGCAGGGTGAAGACCCAAAGCACTTCTTGTGTCTCTCCACTCAATACACTAGAGGATAAAGAAGCAAGTGCACCTCTCTGGTAGAAAAGACAGCACCAAGGGAACTGGAGTGTCCCAGTCAAAAAAGACACCTTATGTCCAACTTTGGGATGCAAAGCGAGCAGGTTGGTACCAGTGCCTGTCAGAAGAACATGAAATGCCACCAGCTGGGGCATGGGGACATTTGCAGGGCAAGGGGGAAAGGAACACTAAAGCTTGCTTAACGCTAACAGACATATCTAGAACAGTTATTCCTTTAGAGGCTCATAAATTAGCAAGCCCATAGAAACAGAAACCTCAAGGACATGCCAAAACCTTGCCATGCAAAACATGTTAATTATAACAGGCAGATTTTAATAAGCCAGTTCCTGGCTCTCACACTTTCACCTATAAAACACACATATTTCCAAGGCCAGGGGATGTCAGAAACACCTTGCAGCCATCTAATCGTCTAAACCCCAGTGGCACAAAAATCATATTAGAAGGTTCATCACACCCTGTATCCCTTTGAATTTTTTTTAGTAAAAAAAAAAAGATGAAAGAAAATTCCTCCTCTGTAAACCCCAACTAAGTCACAGCAATGAAACAAATGTCTCTGCACAGGCGGTAAAGGAGACAGGAGGGCAAGAGGAGAGAGATGAAAGAAACGTAAATCATCTTCTCCAGACGGCAGGGCAGGGGAGCTCCTGGATTCCTGGCTGTGCAGCTCTGGCAGCCGATGCCCCGGCAGAGTCGGGCAGCGCCGCCCTCTGCTTCCAACACCCGCCAGCGTGGCCTGTCGGGAGCAATCCGTGCCGGACTCCAGAGCGCGCAGGATGGAGAGGGGCAGCCTGCGGGGTCAGCTAAGCCTTCAGCTCCCGCTCAGGTTTCATGCTGAAGGGCTCCAGCCGCTCGCTCTCGGGCAGCATGCTGTTCAGCCGCTCCATCAGCGGCACCGTCTGGTCGATGCCCATCTGGATCCGGCGAAGGATGGCGGACATCTCGTTGACCTTCTGGATCTGCTCCGCGTATTTGGCGTACTTCTTCTGGCGCTCCTGCATGAAGCCGTAGAGGGTCTCCACAGAGAGGTCCATCTGTTTGAGAACAACAAGTAGAGCAAGGCACATTAGGCCAGCCGTCACCAGAGACCTCTGAGCACACATTTCAGCCTTGGATGCCCCACTGGAGATATCAGAAAGGAACAAAAGAGCTCCTCGGAAGGTGCACAACCAGTTTGTCACAAAACGGGATCTGCGGTTGTACACCGGGGAGGACATGTAACAACCTCAGCTCTACACCCAAATCCCTACGTATGTGATCAGAAGATTCTTTATGTGCAGGACTGAGAGCCAACAGGCACTGCCAGGGATTTCCCAATAAACCAATATACATATCCTCCAAGTTACACAGCTCGGGGAACTCGTGGCCTCTGCCCACACCTGTAGTATATTTTCATTGGAGATTGTTCATTTGTAAGCATTAAGCTCTACCATACTTGCCAGTGCTAATTTTCCTTGGTTTAGCCAGGTTACTCTGCAACTAAGCCACAGCTGTTACTACCACTGTCATCTGGAAAATTCCTGCCTCGAGAACAACAGTGGATTGCTACTGTCCCTAATTTTCCTGAAACCCCAAAATAAGGAGTGTTATGAGTGACCCCCGGAGAGACATTAAGTAAATTAGCCCTGCAATTAAACACAGTCAGTCCCCAAACATAGCTCAAGCATGATGACAATGACAGGAACCGCAGTGCTGTTCCTGCCACCGAGTGATGAAGGCAGCCTTTATAACTCACAGTCCAATTTTCTCTTCAGCCAGACCTGCAAACCCCACACAGAATTCAATCAGCGGCTTCCGAGTCAGATGGTTTAAGCCGTTTTACACATTGTAAGACACACCACATATTCAGAGAGTTCAGTGACAGCTCTGCTCCAAGCCCTCCAGCTCACACTTGAAGCTTGACTGGCTCGCTGTAGCTGCACTCAGAGTGCACAGGCTCCTTGGCTCTTCACACTGTGGAGATGTTTTGTGGAAAGCAGCCCCTCAGCTGGGACTCAGCACGTGCCCACGGGGGCTGCTGAGTGAAGGACAGAAACACACACACACTGACCAGGTTTAGCCCACTGCCACCTCTTAGCACTGTTTTTCCCAATCTCTCCCATCTCATTACTGCCAGAGGAAGGAGGTCACTGCTCATGATGAAGCAGCCTCAGCTTTCAGGCTGAGTTCTTCCTCTTTGCCTCTGTGCTTTGCTGTGAATTCCTCCCTCCACACTTTCATGCACGGGATAAAATAAAACCGGCAGAGCAGGAAACTCCAAATAGAGTGGAAGCAATTTAAGCCTACACAGGGGTTTCTGTTAAAACCCCAGCTAAATAATTTAGTAGCTTGGCACTAGCTCTGTAAATTGGAGTGTGTAAAAAGCAGACCGCCACCAACCAGTAAGTTCAATCCAGAGCCTAAAAACATCCTACCTAATGAGCCAGGGGCCTGGAGTGGCAGCCAGTCAGAAACCTGCCAAAAGCCAGCATGCCTCATTAAACTGAGCAGTGTGGGGACCCAGGCAGAAATCTCCTCCAGTTCTGAAGTTCTCCTCCACAGGCAGGTTCTCCATGTGGCCTCACAGCACTGCAGAAGAGGCAAAGCCTGCACATACCAAGCTTTCCAACAAAAAACGCCAAAGGCCCCCTTTTCTCTCTATTCCAGTAATGTCCATCTGCTGACTTTTGGGCTCCTTATGTAAATACCTGCAACGTCCACTGACGGGTGGGGAACGCAGGAAGAAGCTGAAGCTGACCTGCAATAGGAGAAGGAGATGTGGAGTGGCTTCCAGGCTCTCTTCTACCTTTGGGCACCTTCACAATGGCCATTAAAAAAGCTGCCTCCCAAGAACCCAGAGAGGGTGGAAGTGAGTGTTTCCTCTGGTTTCCCTGTACCTAGCAGTCAGGTTTGCCTGCTGCAGGAGCCAGCGACACAGCAGGGACGACTGAAGTTCAGTGACTGTGAGGATAGGTCAATTTTTACTCAGACTGAGCCTGGTATTTCTAACTGTTAAAAAACAAAGCAACTACATGTTAATTCCTGTAGATAAATGCCAATGTCTCTTTGCAGCTTTCCTTGAAGCCTTGAGGCCTAAGTACACACTTACATCCTTCCTGCCTCCTCCCCCTCCAGGCAAGCTCCTCTAGTCCCAGTCCTTGTGCTTTTACCTTTCCTGGCACGCAGTCCCATTCCTCTCTTGGAGGGGTCCTTCATACTCTGAGGGTCAGCCCTATTTACCCTCCACATCGACCAAAACTGGCCTTCAGTGATCCATAACAAGCTGGGAACAGGCATAAGGACCCACTTAATTCCAATCTGTTTAATTTCATACAGTACCAATAAAAAGCACCTGGAGAAGGGGAGCTGAGGTAGAGTCTGCTCCCCTGCCCATAGCCAAGGCAGTCCACAAGACACCCTTGAGGGTCAGTGAGTGAATTTGCCTTCTCTGAACAGCTCCCATCAACTCCCACCTCCCTGACACGAAGCCCTGCCGAATTCTCCTCTGTAAAATGTTCATCCCCAGCTGAGAGGTACAGAAGAGTTTGGAGAGTTAAAAGGCTGGACCTGAAGCCTGCAAAGAAGGAACAGAACAAAGCCCAGCATGCGAGGTCAGAGTCCTAATTCTCATCCAGACAAGAAGTTCTGCCCAATCTGGACTTGAGAAAAAAAAGACGGGTTCTCAGTGAAGGGGTGAGAGCTCCTAATGCATATTTTATTTCATATATATATAGTGTATATATATATGTATGTATATATGTAGTGTGTGTGTATATATATATACCCTATATATATACACACACTATAGTATATATATACTTATTTCAGAAGTATATAAAAATGAACAAGCCTAAAACTCACCTTCCAGCATGGAATAATTTTTTAGCACACCCAGTGGCATTCAGAATTTGTGCCTTTTTCTGTTTGGAAGCTCATGCCTCTTGTGTGGATCAGCAGCAGTAGGGCACTAATTTATGCCTCAGTTTCAAATTTTAAACATGAAATGGTATCAACATGGAAAGAGATTAATAATTACTTCCAACAGCAGGGCAAGATGGATATTTCCCCACTTACATGGGCCCCAGCACAGCCTCTCCTGCTACACCATTCACATTGTCTACCCCTGAGAGTCTCCCCTGCATTACACAGGCCCATTTGTAACACCACACTGATGAAGCACAAAAACAACTGAGGATACTGTCAGACATCTTGCACACCATAAATTCTTGCATTCATTTAAACATTTTTCTTGGCCCACACTGCCAAGCAGAATAAAGACATTAATTTAGCCCACAAAAAGACTGAGGTCAGCACTGGCCACTGCCCAGTTCTTTTCAGGAGACCACACTGAAAGCAACCCAGTGCCCATTTATCTACATCTCTTACCTGGCATGGGTTTACAGCACCTCTGTCATGGGCCCATGAGCGTCCTGAGGTCTCAGAAACAGGGGTCACATCTTGTTAGTTCACTGACTGAGAATGAAAACTGCAGCTAGGCACATCTGCCCCGTGTGCAGGACGTGGCTGCAGAAGTTCATTAAACTTGGAATCAAATTTCTAGAGAGGCACTGCTGACATACACAACAAAACAAATACATCTGAGGATGCCTGGACATTCCCAGCTTCTCCACTCCCTCCTATAATGCCAATAAGGCAAGACAAGTTCCTTTTGCCCCACACTCAGCAACAGCCTTCAAGAGTTCAACCAGACATCCACTTGTCCTGTGTCCTTCTGTCCTGACAATTTGCTCTCATCTCCCACTCCCTGTGGCTGCTGTTCAAAAAGACACAGCTATCAGGGTGCAATCCTTACTGCAGAAAGCTCACTGGCTACAACAGCACTCAGAGCACGAGCAGCCTTTCCTTCACACTGTCAGGTGATTGAGGGGGGCTCAGTGAACTCCTTCCTGCAGCTGCACAAAGCCCACATCACAAAGTGACAGGCAGGAGCGTGACTGCACGGAATATTAGTAAGGATGTGTTGGTGTGAAAATACTTTTCAATCAGCACGCTTTAAACTGAAGACAGCTCCTCTCTCTGTAGTGCCTGGAAACAAATGTGCTGAATGAATGGCTTTTTTTAACCCTTCCCCTCTCTCTTTGACAATGTCACGCAAAGCCAGCACAAGAGATCGTGATGACTTCTTGGTGATGGGAACATCTTCTGTTTCTCCCACTCAGCACACACAGGTAAGTGATAAACTGACTCCAAAAGACCTACAGTGAAACCCATGCCTGGTCCCTTAGTACTACACTGCTATACATGATAGCACCTGTGAGATCAAGATTTAATTACTTTGGAAGGCCTTGGGACACACAAAAGCATTCAGAATTCCAAAGAACAAGAAGGTTCCTTCTCGAAATTAGCTCTTCTGGCTTTATGTAAACCTTTGCCTGCCTGTTGTGTTACTGGACAGGATATGTTTGTCACCACCTCCCCAGCCCACCTCTCCCTCACAGCTCCGACCCAAGCCCTCCCTGCTTGAGAGCCCCCAGCGTCCCTCTGCCAACTGGCAGCCCCCAAGCTGAAGTTATGACTGCTGCTAAAAAAAGAGTCCCGAAGCTACAGTTAAAACAACACCTACCTCTTGCTCAGCACTACTGAACCAGTAGACTTCCAAGGGTTTTAAAAAGTTTCACAGAATAGATGGGCAGCAAAACCTGACAAGCAGCAGCCACCTGAAATCCGGTGCTGCAGATGCTACAGCCGGCTCTGCAGTTTGGATACAGTCACATTCTATGGGTCTTTACTTTCATTTCCCTCAACACCACATATATTCATCATCAAAACAGCTGAACCATTAACAAAAGGAGGTGAAACTCGAGGCACTGCAAAGCAGCAGTCATGCCCTTCTCCTTCAGATGAGCTGAGTAATCACAAACTTGGTCCTGCACCTAAGTTGTTGGGGGAGAACAAAACAAATTTAGTCTTCCCAACCCACTCTTCAGTGGTTTGGTGTTCTGTCCCTGCCTCACCTACCAGCAGGATCAAGCTCTTCTTTCCCCCTGCATGTGTTCCTAGGTTCTAACTCAGTGCTTGCTGTGGCTGTATCAGA